ATACGCGTCGGTGCAAGCTATACCTAATCCACAAAAAANTTAATTCCATCTCCTCGAAACTCTTGTTACGTATATTGAAGATATTTTGCATGTAGCCGGCATTCCGGATTTCAAAGCTATAACACCGATTAGTTAGTTGTATTGAATATTAAAAAGGAAAACTAGTTATTGTTTTGTCCACCAGACATAATAATTATGGTAGTGTTGTAGCTCAAATGATGGATGTTGATTATTTTTTTCGGATCTGGTAAAGGGATGGTTAGATACAAATTTATCCAAAAAAATTAAATTATTTTTAATTAATAATTTTTCTTTAACTTAACATCGTTATCCTTAATATTATCAATGTAATTAAATAATATTACTCGATTATTATTACACATTACATCAACCTTAATTTACTATTCATCTACTCACATAGTTTTAACTAACCATCATTTCACATCATTTATCTCCTATTTTTACATCAAATCAACTTTAATTATTTTATTTTAAATATTATTTTAATATAAACTAAAAATCTAACTAACAACTAACCATACTATTTTTTTAAAATTAACCATATCAAATAAAAAAAATCTCACTACAATAGTAGTTTCAAAATACAATAATAATAAATTAGGGGGTGATTGGATATGAATTCAACTAGTAAAAAATTGCTTATTTTTTAACTATATTAAGTTTGAAAAATGTGGTTAGGTTAGTTGTTAGTGGATATATTAAAATTATATTTAAAATAAAATAATTAAAGTTGATTTGATTTAAAAATAAGAGAAAATGATTGGAAGTGATAGTTAGTTAAAATTATGTGAGTAGATGAATAGTGAATAAAAGTTGATGTGATGCATAAGAATGATTGGTTGATATTATTTAATTATAATGATAATATTGAAGATAGTGAAGTTGAGTTAAAGTTGAGTTAAATTTGAGTTTTGATTGGTTTTTTTACTGTACAATTTGTATACAATCGGCCCCTTAATAATCTGAAATTTAGTTAAGTAAGAACGACAAATTTAGTTCTACAGGTGCACAAATTGAGTTTCCTATCGTGGGATCACACATTTAGACATATATATACATTCATTATGTGTTGATCCAAATATAAAAAAAATTGATATGTGTTGTGTACACATATATATACATACTTGGAGTGTAAAACAATCTCTATCCAGTCCACCTGCACATTTCTTGTTTTTCCTCAACTTTGTTCCGTTCGATTCTGAAGAATGATTCACAAATTAACCTTGCGTGTAAATTGTTTGGTTTTCAATCGACGATACATATTTCCATAAATCACATAAAAACGCCGGTCTTATGTTTTTTGTCGAATTTCAATTGTTTTCTCAAATACCAAACAAATTATTGGATTTTTATTGTATCTTTTATTTGGATTTCAAAAAATAATACAAATGGAAGTTTATCTAATAAATTTGAAATGCACGTGTAGAATTGAAAGTTGTTCTAATTTTGATTGCAATTTTTATTTATTCGAATTCGTGTACAATTGAGATTATGGTTTTAAAGATTAATCATGTTTTATTGTTGATTTTATTTTAATTATATAAAATGTTTATTTTATCATTCTGTTAAAAAAAAATGATTCACATTGCATGCCTCCTATTCAACAAAAACTGCTATATATCTTAAATACATATTAATAATGGTTTACCGTAAATAATATTTTTTTACTCACGATTGTATCTTGCAACTTAAAATATATTTTGACAAATACATACATATATTTACCAAATTATGTTACTAAATGCACCGGTAGAGTTACCAAATGCAAGCCAACGCCGTGTAAAAAAAAAATAAAAATTGGATTGTATTATATGAAACTGAGATTTTTATAAGATGAAAATAATAGTATTGTATGATATGAAAATCAAGATTTTTAAATAATGTTAATATTAATTGTATTTAATTGGAGACTATTATAGTACAATAAATTACACTTTAACTTAGAGTCCGAAAATTTACATAATCCTTCATTTGAGAATGATTAGATGCTTGCCAATTTTGAGATATGAATTGCCGATTTTTAGGACATAGAAATTTGAATGGCTGATTTTAAAATTTGAATTTTAAAAAACCATGAAATCAGACAACATTAAATGCTATCCAATTTATAAAAAAAAAGAACAAATTTTAATAAAACTTTTCGAAAAAAGAATGTAATTAATATTTCTGGATTTTTTTTGATACTTTCAGTAAATTGTTATTTATATTATATATATATATATTGTTGTTTCATTTTAATATTATATATATATATATATTAGATGAATTCTAATAATCAAACAAAAATGAAACAAAATAATCATATTGCCACGAAAAAAAACATAGCCGATGCCATTTCAATTCACAACCCCCAAAAAAACAAAAAAGAAAAAAATAAAAATAAAAACCAAAAAAAAAAAAAACTTACAAAATTTCCCTAACTTTTTTCCCC